AAATGTCATGAATTTTCCTAATGTGGATGGGTGTGTGTGTGTCTCAGAATGATTGTGATTGAATTAAAAACTTTTCATCTAAATTAAATTCCCTAAAGCAGAAGGAGTCATGTGAATCTTAAGAGACCACTGTATTGCTGCCTTACAATGAGCTAGTTGTAACAGGGTGTTATACAAATAATGTCATAAAAAATGTATAATTAGCAGAGGAGGTGCGCTGGTTGAGTCTTTGCATCAAGGGCAAAGTGTTACAGATGGACATCTGCATACTGCAGTTATACTTATGTAGCAGAGGTCATCCCCTTCAAAGCCCTTGGAACATGCTCAGAGTGGCCATGTGGAGCTCAGTGGGGGATGGCGGTGGTATGGTTTCTCTGGCCATGTGTGACTCATCTCAAAGGGGCTCACACTGTAAGATAACAAGGAGCCCTTTATAGGCCATGCAGCCAGAAGAGCTTGTGACTCAATGGTCTGCCCCCAGGAGTATACTGGAGCCATTTTCTACAGGTTCTTGAGAGACAGTTTTTAAATTTTTAGTGTTAAGTATCTACACCTCAGAAACTGTTGAAGCTGCAAATCAGAGACCGATTTGTTGTTTAGTTGATTTTTTTTTTTAGACTGAAGTGATAATGCAGATTAGACTTTAAAAATGTATCATAGGTACTTTGTTTTTTCAAATCCAAAAAAAATCCAGACCCTTCCTTCCTTTCTAACTGAAGATTGTGCAAGCTTATTTTGGACTGGATCCCTAGAGTTGCATGGGAGAGACGCTGCTGGCTGTGAGCATATGGCCGTGAAGGTATATGTCCTTGCTAAGACAAATCTGAGTCTGGGTTTGGGCTGCCTCTTTTGTGTTTCCTTTCCTGAGCATATGACCAAATAGCAACCTTGAGACATAGATGTATCTAGGCTTGATTGTCACCTTGTGAATTCAAGAGGTCTGGAAGTCTGTCAGTGTGGCTAATGTGATTTTTACAGGAATGGCAGTATCTAAGAGCAGAGGAAACTTCTATATCAGAGAGCTTGCAATTGACATGAGGATTGGTATATGCCTGGCTATTTTAACAGACGACATTATTCCAAGGATTAATTCGACAGTGCCTAGCTGAAATGAAATTAAAATTGCCTAAATAGTACTCCTGTAAGTTGCTTTATGTTCTAAAGCTATCACTCTTTGCAGATGATATGATGATATACCTAGAGAATCCTAGAGAATCAAAACAATAAACAAGTATAGCAAAGTAGCAGGATGTAAAATAAACCCACATAAATCATCACTATTTCTATGTATTACTAACAGAGCCCAACAGCAAGAGATAGGAAGAGAAATTCCATTTAAAGTTACTGTAGATATTATAAAATATTTGGGAGTCTACCTGCCAAAAGAAATCCAGGAACTATATGAACACAGTTACAAAACACTTTTCATACAAATAAAGTCAGATCTAAATAATTGGAAAAAATCAGTTGCTCATGGGTAGGCTGAGCTAATATAATAAAAATGACAGTTCTACCTAAATTAATTTACTTATTCAGTGCCATACCTATCAAACTACCAAATAATTATTTTATAGAGCTAGAAAAAATAATAAGATTCATTTGGAATAACAAAAGGTCTAGAATATCAAGGGAATTAATGAAAAGAAATGCGAGGGAAGGTGGCCTAGCTATTCCAGATCTTAAATCGTATTATAAAACAGCAATCATCAAAACTACTTGGTGTTGACTAAGAAATAGAGTGGTGGATCAGTGGAATAGGTTAAATGTGCAAGACACAATAGTCAATGAGTATAGTAATCTACTGTTTGATAAATCCAAAGACTCTAGCTTCTGGGATAAGAACTCACTATTTAACAAAAACTGCTGGGAAAACTAGAAAATAGTATGGCAGAAGTTAGGCATAGACCAACATCTTACACCCTATAGAAAGACAAAGTCAAAATGGTACATGATTTAGATATAAAGGCTGATACTATAAGCAAACTAGGAGAGCAAGGAATAGTTTACCTGTCATATCTACGGAGAAGGGAAGAATTTATGACCAAACAAGAGACAGAAAACATTGTGAAATGCAAAATGGATGATCTTGATTACATTAAATTGAAAAGTTTTCACACAAACAAAGCCAATACAACCGAGATTGGAATGGAAGCAGAAAGCTGGGAAACAATTTTTACAGCCAGTGTCTCTGACAAAGGCCTCATTTCTAAAATGTATAGAGGAACTGAGTCAAATTTATAAGAATACAAATCATTCCCCAATTGATAAATGGTCAAAGGATATGAACAGGTAGTTTTCAGATGAAGAATTTAAAGCTATCTATAGTCATATGAAAAAATGCTCTAAATCACTGTTGATTAGAGAAATGCAAATCAAAATTCTGAGGTACCACATCACACCTATCATATTGGCTAACATGACAAAACAGGAAAATGATAAATGTTGGAGAAGATGTGGGAAAATTGGAACACTAATGTATTGTTGGTGGAATTGTGAACTGATCCAACCATTCTGGAGGGCAATTTGGAACTTTGCCTAAAGAGGTATAAAACTGAAAAGAATACTCTTTGACCCAGCAATACCACTTCTAGGGCTGTATCTCAAAGAGATCATACAAATGGGAAAAGGACCCACATGTCCACATGTACAAAAATATTTATAGCAGCTCTTTTTGTGGTGACCAAGAATTAGAAATTGAGTGGATGCCCATCATTTGGGGAATGGCTGAACAAGTGTAGTATAAGGATGTAACAGGATACTATCGTGATATAAGAAAAGATGAGTAGGTGGACTTCAGAAAAACCTGGAAAGACTTATATGAACTAATGCTGAGTGAAGTGAGCAGAACCAGAAGACCATTGTGCACAGTTAACAGCCACATTGTGCTATGACTAATTTTCATAGACTTGGATCTTCTCAGCAATGCAAGGATCTAAGACAACTACAAAAGACTCATGATAGAAAATGCTATCCACATCTAGAAAAAGAACTATGGAGTCTGAATGACAATCGAAGCATATTGTTTGGTCTTTTTTTCTTTTGCTGTTTTGTTTTGTTTCTCCTTTCTTGTGGTTCCTCCTATTGGTTCTAATACTTCTTTACAACATGACTAATGTGAAAACATGTTTAATATAAATGTATATGTAGAGCCTATATCAGATCACATGCAGTCTTGGGGAGGGGGGAGGGGAGGGAAGACCAGAAAATTGAAAACTCAAAAGCTTATGGAAGTGAACGTTGAAAACTAAAAATAAATAAATCAATTAAAAATGTAAAAAACAACAACTCTGAAATAACAAAAAAATTGCTTTATGTTCTGATGAGGTTTCAGATTTAGAGCAGATTGTTCTAGTAGTTATAGGTTAAGTTTCTGAATCCTGTTCTGTTAATGTGTGTGTGTGAGCATCCTGTGTTTAACATCTTTTTCTGTGTGTAGGGATTATCTGCTCTGTACCTGATTCATATTGGATATTGAGTATTTCTTTGACTTTACTTTTTTTCTGGGAGGCACTAGATGTATTTCATGCAAAATAGTGTGTGGGATACCAGGGTGGGGGACTTAAACAAATGACTATGAGATCAGTAAGCATTTGTTGTTTCAGTCATGTCTGACCCCATATAGGGTTTTCTTGGCGGAGACATTAAAGTGGCTTGCCATTTCTTCTCCAGCTCATTTTATAGATGAGGAAACTGGGGCAAACAGGGTTAAGTGACTTGCCCAGGGTCACATAGCAGCTAGTAAGTGTCTGAGGCCAGATTTGAACTCAGCAAGATGAGTCTTCCTGACTGCCAGCCCAGTGCTCTACCCACTGCGCCACCTAGCTCTCCATCAGGAAGCATAAGTGCTCTGATTAGAGGCAGGCTCCCCTAAAACTGAACTAACTGAATAAGGGACAAGAAGTGATTAGTTTGCCAGGACTTTGTTGATCCACCATTGGTTTCTTTCTTGAATTTTAGACTTCAAAGGCAAAATGTTCTTCTTGGTCTCCAGATGTTACTTCTCCTTGTTTATAATTCATACTTTGCACGTTTCTGATCTGATCAGAAATGACATCTGATATTACATGTTTTTATTGCCTTTCTTCTTGGTGTAACACTTGCCCTCATGCTTGATATTGCTTGTACTTGGGAGGTTGGTTCAGTACATCTGCTTGCAGAGCTTTATTTCTGTAAGGCACGAATTGATACTCAAGGCATCCGCTACAGCAGCGCACTCGGATGAGCATGCACAAATACCTTTAGCTAAAAATGGAGGATGTGCCGTCAACAGCCCTTCACTAGTGCTCCCAAGTCTTGTCTGCATTTAAAGTTTAGAGGAATTAATTAATTCCAATAATGATGATGATGATAGCTAATGTTTATGTAGTGTTTCTTATTTTCCAGGCATTGTGCTAAGCATTTTACAAATATTATCTCATTTGATCTTCACAATAACCCTGAGAAGTAGGTGCTATTTTTATTATTTTTTATTATTTTACTATTACATCATTTTTATTTACTATTATTATCATTTTATTATATCATATATTTACAGTTAAACGAACTGAAGCAAATGTTAAGTGACTTGCCCAGGGTTACAGAGCAAGGAAATGTCTGAGGCCAGATATGAAATCAGTTCTTCCTGATTCCAGGGGTCCAGCACTTATACACTCTGAGCCACCCAGCTTGGTTCATGTGCCATCACCCAACTCGAGAATCCCAATCTTGCTTCCAATGAAGCTCAACGAACTCAATAACTCAGTGTGAAAACTAAATGTACCAGCTATTTCAGTGAAAAGAAAAGTAATGGGTGATCATTAACCCACAAACAATTGAGAACAAGCTGTTGCCGCCATTTCTGAATTTCTGATTCCCCACCCCAACACCACATTTCTATCTTGCTCTGGTTTTAACAGAGCTGGGGGTGGGGAGACAGATGCACAAAAGGCCTTTCTTGGTAGATAGAGGCTGTTAGACCTCACTAGTCTCAAGATCGCGGTGTGAACACAAAGCCCTCTTACCCACATATGCCTCTTTGGTGTGGCTCCTGCCAATCTCTGCCTCTGACTTCTGTCCAGACTTGTCTGCAACTCTTGGCTAGCTGTCAGGTGAGTTTGTTGCTTGATATTTCCATGGGATGGGTGGCCTTTGGAACCTCCCCCAACCATGTGGTCAGACATCTTCTTCAAGTCTCCCCCTGGTGTGTCATCACCAGGCCCCGAAGCCGACGTTGGTGCTGAGACTGCCTGTTGAACTGTCCTTCGGAGGAATGTGACCAGCGTGACTTCTGACCGCAGCGCTTTGTAAATCCCTTTGCCCTCTTCCCTTCAGCTCCACACTTTTATTTCTCTTTGGTGTCCAATCTCCTCTCAGTGTTCCCATCATCGTTCTTCCAGTCTTGACATTACTAAACACTTAATGTGTCCTTGTCATTGACTAGAGTGTTCCCCTATTACATGCTAAGCACTGTGGGTAAGCAGTGTTTTCTTGCCATGTCTAAGAATCAGAGGAAGACAGAAGTGTGGGGGGCTGAGACCTCATGCAATATTGTAGTGGAGATGTCAAAACAAAGATAGTTTCCTGTTTCATAAGGTCAGAATGGGTCACATGGAAACATGCCCAAGGTTTTGAAAATTTCAAGGGAAAAATAGCCATGGGTGGGAGGGGAAAGCTGCTTAGGGGCAGCTGGTGATGAAGTGGATAGAGTGCGGGACCTAGAGTTAGGAAGATCCTGAGTTCAAATCCAGCCTCATTTACTAGCTGTGTGACTCTAGACAAGTTATTTAACCTCTGTTTGCCTTAGTTTCTTCTGTTGTAAAATGGGGATAATAAGAGCACCCACCTTATAGGGCTGTTGTGAGAGTCAAATGAGATAATATTTGTAAAAGTGCTTAGCATAGTGCATGGCACATAGTAGGTGCTATATAAATGCTTATTCCTCTTAGGATTGAGTTTATTTTTTATTTTGTATCCTATGAATTACCAGTCATTCTCAGTGATATTCTTCCTGGGTTGTACATGCTGCTTTATGGTATCTAGCTTGGCAGATAGATGTGGGCAGTTTCCCACTTCCTTCCCATTTTAAGAGAAAACCTTTTTGAGTAAATTCATAAATCTCTAGGCAAATGAATTTTTAAAATTTGTATTTATTTATTTTTTAGGCAATTGGGGTTAAGTGACTTGCCCAGGGTCACACAGCTAGTAAGTGTCAAGTGTTTGGTCTGAGGCCAGATTTGAAGTCTTCCTGACTTCAGGGCCGGTGCTCTATCCACTACGCCACCTAGCTGCCCCGAATTTTTTTTTTACTAACTCTTATTAAATATGCTGTATTCCTGACCATCACTCCATATTTTAAGCCATGATGTAGATTTCCAAATCCCATTCTTAGATGGCATTTTCTTTTCCATCAGTTAACTTCTTAGATCTCTCTTTGTCTTTTAATGCCTATACCTTCAATCGACAGCAATGATGAAAACACAAGCTATGACTCCAGCATCTTTAATTTCTAGCTCAGAACTTAAGCTTTCTAGGTTTCTTCTGACAAATATTCTTAACCTCAAAACTCACCAAAATTTAAAAAAAAATCTCAAGGACAAACGTCCCAAGAATGAGTTACAGATTTCTTCCCTTTATAAGAGCACCTGCTTTACAATGTACTAAGAGTTGAAAGTCAGGTGGTTAGTCTGGGTTCCTTTGTGCCTCCCGAGGGCGAAACTGGAAAAGCTCTCCATAAGACATCGAATGATGCTCTAAGTCTACGTTACCAGTGCTTTTGTATAGGTGTGAATGTGGCTATAGGGCCTTTGCCTTCCCCTTCTTTAGTGCTTCTTGTACCTGTGTAGATTGACTTGCCTAGGTTCCTCATCTCCCATCCTTTTAGTTTCTTGCCCACGCTATTCTGAAGATTACCAAAATTTATTTCACTCATGCCTCCATTATCATTAAGATTTTAATTTCATTCTCTACTTTAAATGAACCAGAAGTAACATACACTTCCAGTATAAATCAGAATACATTTATTGAATAGAACTGAAGGTAAAAGACAATATTATGTGACCCCCTCCTGCAGGGATATTGCTCTGGGGACTTGTTGGGGCTAGAAATATCTGCTTACTGGCATACGTGGATTACAAGGGCTTTTGACTTTGGGAAGCAACTCCCATGCTACCTCGTGGCCATGTTTCCCATAAGGCATGTTTCCAATAAGGCAACTGTCTTTGTTTTGAAAGTCCCACTATAGCATCACATAATAGGAGTTTTTTAAAGTTTCAAATCTCAGCCCCTGAATTTGTTTCTCTCCGATGTCTAGAGACAGTAGGAAAATGAAAGTGAAATCATTGCACATCTCTTGTAGGTGCTTGATAAATGCTAGTTGCCTTTTCGACTTTGACATAGTAAGGAGTGAACACAGATCTGGAAAAGATAGACACCACACACACACACACACACACACACACACACACACACACACACACAACCCTCAGCTGGTCATAGCGAAAGAACCCAGAAGAATTAAGGACATTTTTTAGGATTCAGTGGTTACTATCATGAATTTGTGAATAAGTTACTATTGCTAAACAATTTCACCCAAGGATATATGATTGCGAGGAACTAATGGCAGAGGGACAAAAAAAAAAGATGAAATTGACTAAAACCCTCAGAAGCCATTTGGAGACCCTTAGAATGGGAAATGTGAACAAGCTTTTCAAGATTTGGTCAGCTGCCTCGTGCATGCACCAGTGTTGGCTTTAGACTCAAATAAACTCTTTATGTTGTCTACTGATGCTAGTTTAAAATGCTTGGGAGCAGTCCTATATTGAGTGAGTAATGCTCATAAATATCCTGTTGTACTCACCAGTGGAGCACTTACTGGTTTGCCATTTATAAACTAGAGTTCCTAACTTTAAAGTGTATTGTCGCTAAAAAGTTCAGAAACTGTAAATATAGAGAAAAATTTCTGTGAATGGACAACAACCCATTGACATATTCTGATCTATATCCTGAAGCTGACTGTCAGAGATTAGTATCAGTGCTAGCTAACTATGTGTTCAACTCATCAACTGTTGTCTAGGAAGTACCAATAGAAATGTAGACACTTTCTGCCATAGGCCTCATGACACCAAAAATTATGTTGATACACATAAAAGGAGTGAAAGCTATCTGTTACACCTAGTTGTCCTTGAATGATTGGATGAAAGAAAGTGGGAAATAATAACAATCAATAAAAGGATTAACCTTTGAGGACTCAAGTTTTTTTCCTTGGAGACCTTACTATTAAGACAATGGCAGAAGTTGGAACTATGCAGTGGAGAGCTATACTGGTTTATAATTGATCTGACACATGCCACCAAGAAGCAGTTTATACTGTCTTGTGAACTGCACACTATGGCCATGATGGCATTGAATGATGACTTTGGAGACTTGGGTCAAATCGACTTCTCAACTATTGAGAAACAGGCTTGATTGTCCTAAAATGGTAGCAGATGTGTATAAGAAGCATGTAGCTTGTGCTTGATATGTCCAAAGGAAACTTCTGCCAACTTGGGCTGCATACTCAGAAAGTGTAGGCACCAGCAAACTGTTGGAGCTTGTGTAAATGAATAATAATAGCCAGCATTTATATAGCACCTGCTAGGTGCCTGGCACTGTGTTAAGTGCTTTTTTACAAATATTATCTCAGCTGATCCTCACAACAACCCAGGGAGGCAGGTATTATTATTATCCTTTTTTCTAGTTGAGGAAACTGAAGTAAATAGAAGTTAAGTGAATGACTTGCCCAGGGTCACACAACCAGATTTCATACTCAGGTCTTTTTTTATTCCAGGCCCAGCATTTTATCCAGTGCACCACCTAGCTTCATTGAGATGTTGTATCTAAAAGTAGACCGGGGTGGGGAATCTGTGGCCTTGAGGCCACATGTGGCCCTCGAGGTCCTCAAGTGCAGCCCTTTGACTGAATTCAAACTTCACAGAACAAATTCCCTTAATAAAAAGATTTGTTCTGTAAAACTTGGACTCAGTCAAAAGGCTGCACCGTGGGGCAGGCAGGTGGTGCAGTAGATAGAGCTCTTGCCTTGGAGTCAGGAGGACCTGAGTTCACATCTGGCCTCAGACACTTGAAACTTACTAGCTGTGTGACCCTGGGTAAGTCACTTAACCCCAGTTGCCTCACCAAAAAAAAAAAAAAAAAGAAAAAAAGGCTGTACCCCAGGACCTAGAAGGCCACATGTGGCCTCGAGGCTTTAGGTTCCCCACTCCTGAAGCAGACAATAAAAAAAGAACCCTACCCCAGTAGTGACTGACCATTTCCCCAGTATGCAGAGGCATACCCAATGAGGGACCAGAATGCTACTTCCTTTGCTGAGGTGTTATGGGGGAAATCTTTATCAGTATATGGCTTTCCATCTGGAATTCAAACTGGTCTAGTCAGAGTCAAGAACCACACCTTATGGGGCAGCTAGGTGGCACAGTGGGTAGAGCACAGGCCCTGAAGTCAGGAGGACCTGAGTTCATATCTGATTTCAGGCCAAGCACTTGACACTACTAGCTGTGTGACCCTGGGCAAGTCACTTAACCCCAACTGCCTAAAAAAAAAAGAAGAAGGAAAAAAAAAAGAAGAACCACACCTTACCACCATGGAGACATACCATCAGAGTATTGCCACCATACCCTGCTAAATACGTTAGGATCATTAAAATCTAAGCAGAAATCTCAGTGGAGTAAACATGTGGCATTTCTAGTGCATGATTACAAAACTACAGGGACAATATCACAGGTTTCATTCCATACTTGCTAATGTTTGGAAGGGAGCCACTTTTACCTCTTGCCTTGTGGTTTGGAGTTCAAGAAAATGTGAAATATGGAGGGACTCATAGTCAGGATGCATCTTGGTTAAGAGATAACATGAAAGAGCTCAGAAAACTCTGATAGAAACAAGTGTTTGAACAATGCCTGAGCATATTGTCAAAACATTTATACAGAATTCTGATAAGGAACCTTGGTGTGTATGAACCACATGAGATAGCAAACCACTGAAAAGCCATGCTCTACCAAGGCATAGAGAGACTGGGCAATTTGCTAGTTTT